GCTTCACATGGAAAACCAGCGCAAGGCACGATGTAGAAGGAAGCGGTCGATCGGCGGATTATTGGTAAGAGGTGGCTAATAACTGAAGCGAGTTGAAAACAGCCACGACAAGATTGCTTACTGAAATGGTAGAATCAGAATACGAAGACTCGGAAGATACTCTCAGTGATTCAAGTCAACCAGTACCCTCACGGAGACAACCTTGAAGAAATAACTCTAGGAGTTAAAAGTCAAGTAAATGTTAATGCCTAGCCTCACCCAAGTAACATTGCAAGTTTTATCACGGTTTTAAAGCATGCTACAAGTCTAAATTATAGTCTGCAAAACCCTCATAAAACCCCAATTGCTACTTGGGCAGTGATCCAAGCAGCGATGATCAACTGAACATCCCGTATTTCAAAGGTTTCTCTAACGGCGAGGTTGATGCTTTCCCAGCGTTCGTCTAATTAGTATCATCATTATATACCATCGCGCTATTGTCAAACTCTGTGATGGTAAAATCAACTAACAACTTCCTGTACTTTTTACCAATCTCGATCATTATTAACAGGTTATTACCCGAGCAAAGTCAGATATCAAAATACTTTCAAAATGATATCTAATTTTGTTTTTGAAATCATGTTGATAACATAATTTGATGTGCTATTTTTTAATTTCGGTTGAATTCATATGTTGATATTATTTTGATATGTCTAAAAATATAATTAAAAACAAAATTTGATATTTTATAAAAAGAGCATCAACATTTATCACTGAAATCTACATTTATTTTAATTTTTCTTCTTATGAGTCATTCAGGATGCTTGCTGTTTTCTTTATAAACATCACAAAGACAATTATGATGTTTACAGTATTCTTTTACAACATTTATTGATATTATTCTACCTGTGAATTGAATTTACAAATCGATATAAAATTGATTTCGTCCTGTTCGTCTGTAATACTTATGCTAATTCATTGTCGAATATTGTAATTTAACTTTCGTAGGCTTAGCGATTTCTTAGCTCATATTTAAACATGTTGTCATAAATCTTATTTCTCAGTTCTTTCCCAGCAAAATAAATATCTTCATTCATGTCTGTTAAAATATGTTCGATGCAAAAGAATTGATCATTCATAATAATATAAGAGTCATCGTAGACTAATTTTTTACATGATTCGTGTGTCTTATTATATTGAATATAATTCCACTAGAATTTGTTCATATCGTCTATTTCTATGCTATTGGATCTAAAAAACTTCAATCGTTCGTCATATTTTAACTTTAGTAATTAGTCTATAATGACAAAAGCGATTCATTATATACTTTCTTGTAATTTGTACCACTGGTTGATTATTTCGAGTTCTGTACTTTAATATGGCACCATTCTCACTTTATAGACATTTTTTTTTGATTTTGAATCATAATATCAACAATAGATGTTTTTAAGATTACTAAATTTGATCAAGATATCAAAATAATAACTAATTTAGTTTTTGAATTGTTTGTTTCCTACCATAGTTATAAGAACTTATTTTGTTTATTATTATCGAAATTACTAATATCAAAACGCATACATGGATTTGTTATCAAGAAAACATTATTTGTTATCTTTTTAATATCCTTCATATACCATTTAGATATCATTTTTGTTATGATTACTGTTAACTCGACCACACGGTAGGCAAAATATGGTATCACGAGCGCTTATACCGAAATATCCCCTCCCTTTGGCTAGTTTTTGCACCTTGCTGTTGGTGGGCGGGCTTAATTTCATGCTTTATAGTGGAGTGTTGGAGACGGTAGGTTTATGGCCGGCGTGGCTGGCTCATGCCGCGATAGAATTGCGTCATGGGCAGGCAATGGGGATTACTAAGCTTCCCCTCTCTGATAAACCACTGCATGAGAGAACCAAAGATCTAGTCTAGCAGTGATAGTATCACACTTGTTACTCCTTTTATTGAGAGCCGCGTCGTAGTACGCTTACGTATAGGCACTGACGTTGGGTGTGATACTGGCGGGTTTTGCCGCAAATCACTCTTATTTTATTTATTTTTACGGAGATAGATTTATTTGGGTTTGCAAGGGAATTATACTATTGAAATATTTCAGAAAGTGCCCAACGGTGCTCCTTCTATTTGCGTGACAAGCTTTCATTGTTGTTTTCATTGAAGTATTACTCAGGAAACAATGTTAAACATCATTTTTGTACATGATATTGTAACTAATCTTATATGTGCTTCATTTTGATTTGGGATAAGTGTTTGAACTATGGCTCGAGATTTCCACTGTGGTGTGCTTCTATTGTGACATACCCATATGTATTTTTGTGGTGCGACATAGTGGAAACGTGAGAGCGTAATTGGAGCATATACCCTATATAATTTAAAAATCAGCTAGGAAACTAACTTCAAAATGAAGCATTTTAGTCACATGAAGGTGTTACCTGTGTCGACCTAAGATATAATAAATAGGTATAGGTCAAAATCAAAAGTACTTGAAACACGTTTAATTTTAGATTACAAGCACAAGTGCAGGTACTTAATAAAGCATGGGTTATGCTGATTAGGTGAATTAGAGCTTTTAATAATTTATTAAATTAGACTAATGAGATATCATAATCATCAAATGAACTTAAATAAGAAACTTCAGAAAGTCTAATGACATTAAGTAGATTAACAAAAGAATTAGGATGCGGGGGTCCGCTTAGAGAGGCAACTAACCTTTAAAGTTGTAGAATAAATCTTCTTATTTAGTCTTGAACTTTAAAAAGAAAACGCAGGCAGACCAATAGCATTTAGCAGATTAACAAGGAGAGGAATAGTTTAGGAAATAAGTAAAAGTAGAGGTATGTGACAATTAATAGCTTTTAAACTTTTGGAGATATTGTATTCCCCTGAGTTTGTTGTACTCGATTACTATATAATTCTCTCAATACGCGAAATCTCTTATATATGCGGTTAAAGCATTTAAGTTAACTTATTTCTTAGTGTTCAAGTACTTACATTTGTAAACAGCAGTCAATGTTAATCTATGAACTAAACCATACGTAAAATCGATCTTTCCTTATGTGGTATTGATGCATGTTTAACTTTTCGCGGCTGTCGGAATCAACGCGCCTACGTCTTCGGAGCTTATGCAGAAGTGATTCGCAATGCGGTAGAGCTCACCAAAAGTTTTTTTGAGCTTCTGTAGTATAGAATTTGTTCGGTACGGTCGCGAAATCTTGAAATGATTGATACGTGCGGTAAAATAACTAAATTGAAACAAAGCTCAACAGTAAAATAAGTGGAATATTTAGGGAGGAAACCAAAATTAATCAGCTTGCCAACATAGGCTATCACTTTTGTTTTGGTGGCACTCTTTAAATGATAATAAGCCTTTTTTCTCGCTTCGGTTGTCTCGCACGGCTTTCGGAATTCGCGCGGTTTTCGTGGCTTACATAGTTTAGATGTTTCGTTCGAAACGAATTTGCTTATTCAATCGGTTTGCTACGCGGATGTATCAATGCAAAGTAATAAGCGCAATATTAAACGACATTAAATTTGAATCTGATACGGTACACAGCAAAAAAATAATTTTGATATCACATCAAAGTGGATGCACTACAATCATGTCGAAAATTTCATGTAATTTTTATGACCACATAAATAAACAAATGCAGTAAAAGCAGCGTAATGTCAGTTCATGCATTGAATTAATGATAATTTTGTCCTTTTTAGCAAGTAATATTACACCATATTTTCGACATGATTGTAGTGCATCCACTTTGACGTGATATCAAAATTATTTTTTTGCTGTGTAGGCCATATAACAGAGTCGATAGCCATTGCAAATCAACCATCTCTACCTGCTTATTTTCCTAACTTTCACTATTATTGCTGTTACTCTGACTATCCCCTATGTTCAACAGCTTTCCTTACTATCCGGTATCGTAAACAGGATTCATTTGACCCCTGTGGTTATTATTCTGTGATGCCAAATCTATACCTCTACCCTGGTGCAGTATGGACACCGATTTTTCGCTGGTGACTTGGCCCTATGACCCCCTTCTGTGCTTGAAAATGAAAATGAAAATGAAACGAGCGCTTATATCAAAATATCAAATTTAGTTTTTATTATGTTTTCATTCTCTGCTCGGGTATTCATTTTATTCAATTAGTATATTATACTGTCATTATCATTGCAACTAATTCATTTAGGCATATTCAATTGACCTGCCTTGGGTTATTATTTTGCATGCAATGATATGGGAAAAGGTTCAGCATGGAGAGTGTATGGGAGCCGTTCTAGGGGTTGTTTAGGGTATTTTGTTCATTTTATACATTATAGTTTGACGTGATCACCATGATCCACTCACGTTCTGGGATGTGGCCTTGAGATTTGGCCTGTGAAACTGTTTATTTACTTCCATGCAGTTTTCGGTAACAGGTCTTCTGTTACAACCGAAAAATTGTCATAATGTTCCGCTTAGTTGAAAAAAAAAAAAGATTCTCAAAACTCCATGCATTTGAAATCAAACTAATTCCATACAAAGGATCCTCCATTCAATTTTTACAACTTTCTCTTACAGAACTATGCTGAGTTTTCAGTTTTTATCGTAGCTAGAACGAGTTTTATAATTTCGCATCAAGCGACTCGTAGAAAACGTTAAACTTCCCATATCAATTACAAAATTTTCTTCCGTACATACCTGCTGGTAATAAAGGTCAGTAAGGTATAATTGCTGCATTCTTACCTACTGGAATCAACACTCAAGAGTCAGAAAGATACACGTTTCTCTTCCATACCTGCTGGTAGCAAAGTTCAGCAACGTTACGAATATATCTACGCAAATATGACAGCTAGTATAAAAAATAATTAAAATTCTAGCCAACCTAATCAATGATTTATTCTTTTTCAAGTTCCTTTTGAGCACTGCAAGTTATATGTAATAGGATTGTTGAAAAATTAATATCAGTTCATTTTCAGAAAACAGTAATGCACTCGTTTAAAGATTAATCTTACCTTTCTTTTACAGATTCATGCCATGGTCCTGCGGTACACTACAATTGAGGAATGTGAATACAAGGAAGATGTTTTCAAGCTTTTAAATTCGCTAGTAAATATACTAGCAATCATCAAGCATTTTCAGGTATGTATAAAAAATTAATCCTAATAATCAAAAACTTGGGGATTCTTTAATTAGGAAGTGTATTGAAACGTATACGTAAACATTCAAGATTCACGGTTCTGGTTCGTCGTCACCGTTCAAATAATGGTTTTGTAACACTAGCCCGAATGTCATTAATCCTAACTTAACACTTTCCTCAACTAAACAAGCCCCAATGTAATACAAGCCATAATTGCAGATTTTCTTTCTTTCAATTATGAGCAGTTATTTCGCTATTATATAGAATATATTCAAATATATCCCCTACTAAAGTTTTTATTAAAATATTCAAAGAAGGAAATGTTTCCTTTGTTATAAACTAACATTTTTTTTTCGTTTAATGGCATTCCAGGAATTGGATGATTCTGGGAAATTATACATTCCAGAAGATGGTTTTCCGGGAAATGTGATACAACATTCTTGTCATTATTATTATTATTTTTTGCTGTAATCAATATTTTTTTTATTCTTTGATTATTGGGATTTCTAGCCATTTTTCATTTCAACCTTCTGATATATTTCCATAATTTAATCCTTTCGAATTCTGGAAGGCTGATATTTCAGCCTTATGTAGGAATCTCTCAGGAACAACTTACGTTTGTAAACTTGCTCGTATGAAAATGCAGAATTAAATTTGATTTTTAAATTAAGCTTTTTTGTCCACTGTGTACGGTAAGGCTGGGCAAGGTGTGTCATCTACTTGATTAATTTATTTTCTTTGTTTGTCAACATCAAAAGGAAAAAGCAAACCATCATTGGGGTGTTGCATTGAACCTGGCAAACAAATTAATTAATTAATGTAGGGTAAAGTGGGGCAAGATGGTCCAGGTAGTACATTTATTAATTTATTAGTTTGTCAAAATCATGCTTAATGCAACTCCAATGATGGTTTGCATTTTAAAACCAGTATTAGGGCTATATTGAGCCTGTTGATGGTGACATTCATAAAAATTAATAAATCAAGTAGATGACCTATCTTGCCTCGCCTTACCCTACTAACTGACCCATCTTACCCCGTAACTCATCTTGCTCCACCTAACCCTACATACAGTGAGCGATGAATGTCGACCTTGTGTTATTTTCATTTTAAAATTTCTAATGTTCCTATTTCATAGTTTAGAATGATTTCTCTCTTATTTGGATATATAAAAGCTAATGGTTCTGCTGATATTCGAAAATCTATAAATGCTGCAACCATACTGTATGTGTATGGATTGTTCAAAGATAAACACCATTATGCTGTAATAATATGATTGGGCTTTATAAAGTCAGATCACAACAAGGTACAAATGGACATGTTGAATACAACGGATTGTTTTACTTTTCTTTTTAACAGATTAAAATCAAAGAGTGGTTATCTGCAGAATCATTGTCCACCCCAACTGAAGAACAAATACTGGCGCAAATACAGAAAAACTATGACCTTACCCTGAAACTACAAGACTCGTTAGAGTTCTTCGAAAGGTACACCGAAAAACCTCATGATTTATTTTTCCGTAATTTAGTCAAGGATGTCGTCATTGATACGCGGAAGTCGGTGTACAACGTGATAAAAAACTATAACGTTAACAAGACAAAAGAAGCCTATGAATAATGGTTGCGTTTTTTTTAAGGTCCGAAAAGTCCATAATATCTAAGAGAATTAACGCATTCTCGTCAATAGCAGCGTTCGCACTTCTATGGGGCTGTCCATATACCACGTAGATACTTTGAGGGGACAAAGGGTTGCTAAATGTTCACAGCTCATACAAAACTTTAAAAATTTGTATGGATGATTGTCTACGCACTTACGCAAGAGGAATGTGGAATGTGAAAAGCCTATGAGCATTTTCTCAGCGGCTATTCCAATCGAATGTTATTGTAAAACGTATGTACAACGCTCCAAACTTCTCCGGGGAGTATAACCATTGTCGACAGCAAGAGATGAACTAGACTACGGCTAAAAATCTCTATAATAAAGTACATATTAAAAAAACATTGTTGGCAACCTATTTTTCTTCGAATTTGGCTGCCGAAAACAATCACTGCCTGCTGAAGCCATAATTTACTTGCATTTACTTTAATTTACATAGGGGGTGACTAATGAATGTGATATTAGGAGGGCTTGTGATCGTAATAAGATAATCAAATTCTGAAAGCCTATTGTTCTAGTAATGTATTCGTTACATCAGATAATGATAACAATGGACTGTTGCTCAACTTGTCATTGCTTGGCGTATTATCAATCCGCTCATTGCTCGGGATGCTCGATGTTAGGACTAGTACGTCGTCGTTTTTGCCAAGATCCTGTAGAACAAAACAAACATAGAACATTAATTATTTGGTTATTGATTTTTTGAAGTGGAGTATTGTCTACTTATATCAACTATTCATCATACAAAATTATTGAATATCGATCAATCTTCAATCGAACTAGACGACTATAATATTTACAAAATATACAAACATTAGATTGTCCATTGATTCCATTTTGATTTTAAATAATTAAAACTAAAACTATGAACAAACTTTTGCTAATCTAATGTCTACTATATTTTTATAAGACTGTTGCAAATATTTTAAAATCTTTTATGATTCGGTTTAAATCTCGTTAGTTTTGTTCAACAATTAGAAATTATTTTCAAAGTGTTTTTATGTTACTTCCTACGTGAAGTAAGCGATTTTCAGAGTTGGTTAGAAATGCTAACATGAAGATTTAGTGTGATAATTTATTAGCTAGAGAATGATCTTTAGAAGAGAGTAGGTGGATAGTTCATGTTAGCATTTCCATCCAACTCTGAAAATCGCTAACTTCACGTAGGAAGTAACATAAAAACACTTTGAATGTAACAACTCAAGGCGGGAGTAGCCGTCAACAATGCTGATGATGGTACAGCACGCAACAACCACCCTACTAGTTTCTCTCTAAGATGATCACGTTGGTCATAACGAGAAGAGTTAGTTGGGCA